GGACTCTGGTAGCATAGTGCCTAAGGCACTTGACTGCTAACCAAAAGGCTGGTGGTTCAAACCCACCAGCCACTCCTCGGAAGAAAGGTTGGGCAGTCTACTTTTGTAGTAATACTGTCTTGGAAACCCAAGGAGGGGTCGCTGTGAGTCAGATCCGACTCGACGGCATTGAGTTTTATTACTCTTATTGGCACTTTAGCTTCATATAGGCATTTTAAAGAGTATAATACTTAAGGATGATGTTCTTTGCTTTTTCAGTGAAGTTGTTTTTTTTGTTTGTTTGTTTTAATATGACTTCAGGGATAATTTTGTTTCAAAGTCTCTGCAGTATCCTAGAGCAATAGTCTCGGGGGATCCTCCAGCCTCAAGCAATACAGGCTGACTGTTCTTTACAAAGCCAAGGATAGTCTTCCCATATGATCCAGCAATCATATGTCCAGGTATTTACCCAAAAGAGTTGATAATGTATTTTTACATAAAAACCTGCACACAAATATTTACAGCACTTTTTTCATAATTGCCCCAAACTAGAAGTAACCAAGATGTCCTTTTAATAGGTGAGTGGATCAACAAACTGTGTTACATCCGTATAATGGAGTATTATTTAGCAACAAAAAGAAATGACCTATAGAATCACAAATCATGGAGGAACATTTAGTAGGTACTGTTAAAAGAAGCCAAAATGAAAAGCTGTATACTTTCATATATATGAAATTCTGGAAAAGGAAAAACTAGAGACAATGGAAGACCTGTGGCTTCCAGGATTTTGTGGGGATGGAGGAGGGATGAACAGGTGGGCCTCAGGGCATTTTTAATGCAGTGAAACAATTCCCTATGGTAACAGCAGGATGGACACATGACATTATACCATTTGTTAAAACCCACAAGACCTAACAACACAAATGTGAACCCTAATATAAATTACAGACTTTCATAATGATGTATCACTATCAGTTCATCATTTGTAACAAATGTACCACAGGAATCCAAGATGTTAGTAACTGTAGCAATAGTGTGTGTGTGTGTGGGAGAGGACACAGGCATATGAGAACTCTGTACTTTTAAGTTTTCTGTAAACTCAAAACTGCTCTAAAGAGTAGTCTATATATAAAAAAATAAAGAAAAACCAAACCCACTTCCACCACGTAGACTGCGACTCAAGGTGACCCTGTGTGTACGTCAGTGGAAAGCAGTTACCTCTGCCTAGGCCCTGACGGATGGAGCGGACACACTGCAGCGCGTCTACTAAATGCATCCTGAGAGGTTCCTGAGCGGAAGTGGCCACGCTCTGGAAGATCTTTACCTGCCTCGCTTACCACAAAATTAAAAAGGGCAACACGTCAGGCAGAGGAAGCTTTACCAGTCAGTCCTCAGCAGCGAGGCCACCAGTTTACCTCCTGGAAACGCATCCCAAAGCATGATGAGAAGCAGCAAGAAGGCAGAAACGCAGGCACATGTGCTTTCAAGTATACAATTTGTTTTTATTTACAATACCCTATAAAAAATGTAGATTTAGAAACTTTTATTCTCATTAATTAGAACCAAACAAAAAGATAATGCACAGAGAGGGAGAAACAAGAATCAAGTGTTCACTTGATCGGTGGTGATGGCAAGGATCAGCAGATGACGGCGGAGGGACGCTGGGCAGGTCGCCGGGAAGGGCTGGCGGAGCCTGGGGCTACAGTGAGGAGAGACGGACACAGAAGAGCGCTCGGAGAACAGAGACAGCTGCTGCTAACAGAGGGTTTTACTGTTGTACAATACGTGTATGTGCAAAACGGTTATTCTTCTTAAATATCATCACCTGTCCTCCCCACTACATTCTAGAAGGTGAGAACAGCAAAGAGTAGATTAGGACAGTCAGGAAAATTAATTCCGATTTCATTTTCTCGAGGGCTATAATCACTTGGGATGAAAACCCCTCATCCTGCTTGACTGGTGAATGGGAGAAGGGAAGTGAAAAAGATCACGGAGGGCTGCCCTGCTAGAGCTCAAACCAGGCCCCTGGCTGCCTGCGAGGGGGATGTGGCTGAGATGGTGCAGCAGGGACAGTGGTTCTGGTCACGGTGTGGGGACGAGGGCAAAGAGGCCACACTTAGCTTCTAGTTACTTGGAGGTTTCTACCTGTGACAGCAAATAAAAATGGGGGACAGAGAAGTAGAAACATGGCTTGCTTAAGTCGTCTCGGGAAGACAAGGTGAGTGTGCAAAACGTGGCGCTGCAGAAGCAGGCTCCAGGCGAGGGTCACCCTGGGTGCGCCTGTGTGCACCTGGGAGGATGGGCTAAGCACACCACAGTCTTAGCAGGAAGAAAAGGCTTACCCACGTGCAGTTTGTACTGTGGTGGACAGAAAAAGAAATGCAAGTGGGGAACAGAACAAGGACCTCTCGGTCTAGTGCTGGGCATCAGCCAAGTGAGAGTTCTGATTTTATTCAACGTACTCATAGCCTGTGTTTATATTAAAACAAGCATAACCCACCAAATTAATTGTAAGATGGAAGAGAAACAGATTAGAAATGCTGTAATTAAAAACTCCTGTAATTAGAGGAGGGATGTGTCACTTAATATTGTTCCAAGCCCAAACTCACTCTTTAAGAACCCTCGGAGACCACAGGGAAGTAGGTACAGGGGAGTGCCGAGTGTGTGTGTGTGTGTGTGTGTGTGTAGACACCTATCCATCTCTACTTAACTGGCTCTCCTACAGTCTTAATATGGGGCAACAAAAGAGAGATCAATAGGATGAGGGAAGGCATCTGGTGGCAGGCTACAATCTACTCTGAATTGGAGTAGTGCTGTGGGACGATAAAGGGAAAGATTCTATTTGTGTCTTTAGGAAATGCAAAAGAAAATGCAAAATTGAGAAGAACTGAGTAAAAGTAGGGCATGCAGAACTGTAACACAGAAGGTAAGGAAGAAACCAGCAGAAGTGTCACCCAGCCAGAGTCACAGAGCAGTGGGGAAATACCTGGCACTTAAGACACGATCCCTGTAAGCAGGAACTGATCCCACCAGACCTTTGTTTTGGGAAGTAAGCTACCTTCCCTCCCTCATTAGAAACACTCCGTTGGTGACGGCAGCAGTGCAGGTGGCAGCCCAGGAGGGACAGGACACACTCGAAGATCTTTTATCGTATCCCCTGAACCAGCCTAAGGGCATAAAGAGAAAGCGAAAGGAAGGTTATCTGTATAAATGAAGCAAGACAGACAGTCATCTTTTGCATTGCATTAAGGTTACGTCCTTCTAAGAACTCTCATGACAAAACACCCGAGACCTCTCTCTACCCTTAGCATTTAGTCAACTTCTATGAAGGTGCCACTGACCCAGAACAGTGTTTACAGCTGGGAGATGTCAAATATTCCACAAAGTCTTTCATCTTTTCCATCAAATTCAAGTTTCACCTCCCCCAACTCATCATCATCTCTAAGTGCCACTTTAGTGACATGTGCTTCCGTTTCAAACTTACTGTAGTTTCGTCTCCAGCAAGTTCAGTTTCTGTCGATCAATGTAACGTGAAAAGAGGGACACCAGGTTGGTGGGTTTGGAGATGGGCTTGGCTAGGGCTGCCTGGGGGATCTGCAGAAGCTCTCGGGCTGCCATGAACATCACCTCTGCCCTGATAGGGAAAACCCGTGACAACAACATGAGAAAAAGCAGGACAAGTTACCTAACAGAACGTAAGACAAGAGAAGACACACAGCCACACTGACCACTGGTTGTTCTGTGTTGATTCGGCAGCAGGCTCTGAACTCTGTAGGTCTTCCCCGCGGCTCAGGACAACGAGGAGCAGTGACAGGCCAAACTACAAGGGGAGACAGAAGGGATCAAACTCAACACCGCACGTGATCCTCCCCCACCACTGCTGAGGCCACCTCGGCATTAAACGGGGAACGGCTCGAAATCAAAAGGACTCCACTGCTGCATTTCTGTGAAGTCGGGCACAGAGTGGACAGTCATGAACTGAGAGGCCGCGTCCTCCTGGCTGTATCTGGGTACAGCAGCCCCTGATAAAGCACAACTGATGGCAACAGCAAGTTACTGTGGCTATAGCCCTCCCTGCCGCTCCTCACCCCAACCTCAGGGGAAAAATTAATCCGTACTGGCCACAGAGAATTCGGGATTAAGTTTTTCTTTATTTACTGACCCAGAAATGGATGAAAAAGGCTGCCATTTTGCAGCCTTCCCTGCAGTCAGGTGAGACATGTGATGAAGTCCTGGCCACTGAGATTTAAGTACAAGTTGTTGGTTAGAATTTTTGGCAAAGCTCCAAATTAGGAGGGGAAACAGCTAACCCCTACCATCTTACCCTTCCTGACACAAAGTGAACCTCAGCTTCCACAACCACCACAGACCATGAGGGCTCATGAACACAGAAGCCACTGCTGAGGCAGGCGGGGGAGGGAAACCGAAGATGCCGGGACCCCTGACGACTGTGGAGCCACGATACCACCAGGCTTATCTTACAGGAGACACGTGGAATTCATTTGTTGAAGGAAGGAGGAGGAAGGGGCCACCCACTCCTCAGAGAATCGACCAGTGAAACCCTGTCTGATTCTGTTCACGCCATTGTCATTTCTAGGCTCCAGTACAACGCAACTCCTGACTGAAAGCAGCTTTTCTTTTTCACAAGTCGTTACGGCTACAGCAGCCATCGCATGCTCCAGGGTAGACCCCCGCCAAGTTCACGGATGCCACAGGGCAAGAGCACCTTGTTCTGGAGCACAGCAGCGAGGTGAGGGTTGGAGGGTGCTGGTGCAGCTGCGCTCTGAGGTAGGTTCATTAGCTGCTGCAGGATGCTGGTGACAGTCACTGACGGAAGGTGATAGAGGCGGACAGAGAAGGGACTCAGTAAGCATGGCAGCACCTGCAAAAGACACACAGAGCGTTACACCTGGCGCCGCGGCCTCCTGAGGCAGGACCTCCGCTGGGGGGCGAGGACACGCAGCTGGACACGCAACCACCTGAGGAAAGACTGCATGAAAAGAGGGCAGATTAGCGGGTGCTACTAGCATTCTAGGGGTAGCTACCAGAACTGCCTCATCTCCATTTGCTCTGGGAACCTCCTAAGTGTAAATCAAGGGTGTAAAATCACTTCTCAAATACACAGCAAGACTCATACGATAATAAAATATGAATATTTTAATTTATGTCACAAATATTTAAATGCCTCTAATGTGCCAAGCATTGTAGGCTAAAAACAGATGGTAAACAGGGCACAGACCCTCAGGATTGAAAGCACAGTGGGGAAAACAGGTCGCTCAGAAGCGTCAGTATATTGTGACACTGCTGTTGGTAGGTGCTGTCGAAGTCGGTTTCAACTCAGAGACAATGTGAACAACAGAACAAGATACGGCCCAGTCCTGTTCCATCCTCACAACCATTGCTGTGCTGTGTCCACCACTGTGTCAACCCATCTCCTTGAGGGTCTTCCCCTTTTTTGCTGACCCTCCACACCTAGCATGATCTCCTTCTCCAGGGACTGGTCCCTTCTGGCTGTAAAAAACCAAACCAAACCAACCCAACCCAACCAAACAAAAAAACCCAAACTCACTGCCATCGAGTCGATTCCGACTCACAGCAACCTCCTTTGGGTTTCCGAGCCAGTAAATCTTTATGCAAGTAGATTGCCCAGTCTTCCTTCCGAGGAGTTGCTGGTGGGCTTGAACCGCCAGTCCTCTGGTTAGCAGTCCAGTGCCTTAGGCACTATAGGCTGCAAAATCGTAGCTCTCTAATTTGACTTCTTTTCATTTATGAGCTGGAATTCTACACAGAAGAACTCTGCATCATTACTCAGTACTTACCAAGAAATTTGATTCATAATGGAACCAAAAACAGAAACACCCCACCAAACCACTGCCATCAAGTTAATTCTGACTCAAAGTGACCACACAAGACTCATAATGACCCTACAGAAGTGCCCCACAGGGCTTCCAAGGCTATAAATCCTTACGGAAGCAGATCGCCTCATCTTTTTCCCATGGGGCAGCCGGTGGGTTTGAACCACCAACCTTTTGGTTAGCAATCAAATGCTTTAACCACTGCACCACCACAGCTCCTTTCATGTTGAAAGGAGGGATAAAATGCTTCTTTACCTTTCTAGCTTTCAGAGTTATGAGCTCACGGTCTAACAATCTCTGATGGTGATAAAGAAAATTGTGTCATTATGAACTCACTAAATACATTTGTTTCAATTTTTCTTTCTGCTGTCAATTATTCCATTTGTGACCAAAAGGAGGCCTTTCAGGTTGGCTTCTACATCTTTCAACAAAGACTCCAATCTTTTCAGCTTCTTGGCTTTCTGGGACAAGATATTCTAGGATTATCTCGTACATTTCATGCCTCAGACATGGAACCTACTTCAAAATTCAAAGAATTTTTTTTTTTGCTTTAACAAACAGAAATTTATCCTCTGACAGTTTAGCAGGCTCTGTAGAGCCCTGAGCTCAGTGCTAGCTCAGGGCAAGTCTTTCTATCTGTGTCTCCTGTTCCTTGGAGGATCCCAGTGCAGGGACCCTGCATCCAAAGGACACACTCTGCTCCCGGCTCCTCCTTCTTGGTGGTAGTAGGTCCCCTTCTCTGCTTGCCTCTCTCTTTCATCTCTTAGAAGATAAAAGATGTTGCAGGTCACACCCCAGGGAAGCTCTCCTTACATCTATCTGATCAGGGTTGTGATGGGACTAAGAGTACTGCTACTCTTAATCTTAATCCTCTCATACCTGATTGGCTTATCACATTAGATCACATCATGGGGTATCATTACACACCTGCCACAATACATCATTACATAACTTCTGAACCACTGACAATCATGGCCCAGCCAATTTGACAAATTCTGGGGGGACAAAATTCAATCCATGACATTACTTGTTCCTATGGATCTTGCTCTTCCCTGTTCCCTGGCCCTAGAGTCCTTTGCAAAGTCAACCATCACTGATACCCAGTCACCCCATGAATAAGACAAATAAGGAGGCATATAGTTTCAGGTGTCGGGAGCTCTGGTGGCGTAGTGCCTAAGGCACTTGACTGCTAACCAGAAGGCTGGCGGTTCAAACCCACCAGCCACTCCTCAGAAGGAAGATGGGGCAATCTACTTCCGTAGCGACACTGCCTCCGAAACCCAAGGAGGGGTCGCTATGAGTCATGCCCGACTTGACGGCACATAACAACCACAACATAGTTTCAGGTGTCAGCAAAGAGCCCCTCCTCCCACTAAAACAAAAAACAAACAAACTCACTGCTGTGGAGTCAAACCCAACTCAGCGACCCCTCCTCCTTGGGTTTCCAAGGCGACACTACCCAGCAGGAAACACCTAGAGGAGCTGTGAGCGGCTGCACAGCTACCATCATTGCCACTATCCACTCTCTATGCCCAGCCAGCTGCAAAGTCTGCTGCTTCCTTCCTGAACCATTCCCTCAAATGGTCAAAGAATGGTTTTCAGTGGCGTGATCTATCACTTTTGAATGCCTATAGGTAAGAACTTCCTCTCTGTATCTAACCACGCTTTCCTCACTAGCAGGTAAGCTCCATAAAAGTGGGCATTTTGAATTCCCAAACTGTAGCCCATACTTATCCAATCCATATGCAGTGTAAACAATCCAAGAAGATGGGCTATATGAAGAATGTGGTATCAGGATCGGAGGAAGACTTTTAACAACCTGTGATATGCAGATGACATACCTTTCCTTGCTCAAAGTAAAGAGGACTTGAACCACTTAATGACGAAGATCAAAGACTATCGTCTTCAGTATGGCTTGTACCTCAACATAAAGAAAACGAAAATCTTCACAACTGGACCAATAAGCAACAACATGATAAAAAGAGAAAAGACTGAAGCTGCGAAGGATTTTATTTTCCTTGGATCCACAATCAATATCCACGGAAGCAGCAGTTAAGAAATCAAACAACCTATCGCACTGGGCAAATCTGCTGCCAACGACCTCTTTAAAGTGTTAAAGGCAAAGATGTCACTTTGAAGACTAAGGTGTACCTGAACTAAACCACGGTATTTTTAATCGCCTCATGCATGCAAAAGCTGGACAATGAATAAGGAAGACTGAAGAAGATGCATTTAATTACGGTGTTGGTGAAGAATACTGGACACACCATGGACTGCCAGAACTGACACATGTGTTCTGGAAGTACAGCCACAATGCTCCTTAGAAGGGCGATGGTGAGATTTTGTCTCATGTACTTTGGACATTCCGTGTTATCAGGAGGGACCAGTCCCTGGAGAAGGACATCATGCTTGGTAAAGGAGAGGGTCACTGAAAAAGAGGAAGACCCTCAGTGAGATGGAGTGGCACAGTGGCTGCAACAATGGGTGCGAACAATGGGCTCAACAACTGGCAGGATGGTGCGGGACCGAGCCGTGTTTCGTTCTGTTGTACGCAGAATGCTATGAGTTGAACTGACTCAGTATCACCCAGTAACAATAAAAAGACCCTACAACAGTGCCTGGTACACAGAAGTGACCAACGAATACTTGCTGAGCGAATGAAGCGCTTTCAAATCTGTTTGCACTGAGGTGCTGCTCTGAGATGATGAGGAGTCAGCATCTGCCTGTTGCCTCGACCATGACATGCCCCACGGGAGATGTCCCTTCCTCACGTGGTCTTCCATTTTGGAGGGTAAACCTGCAATCCCTAAAACTGTCCTCTAATCCATGTTCACTCTTGGAATCTTTAAAAAATTTACTTGTGTTATCCCACTTCACCTTTCCCAATGACGAGCCCTAGACTTGGCATTCATTTCTTCTGAAGATGGTAACATGTCAAGGATCTACAGGAAGAAGAATTTCCAGCTTTCTCATGCCATGCCACTTGTAAGGAATACAAGCATGGTTTGCTTTCTGGGGACTATTCCCACACAGTCTTCACGCCACGTGTAGTCTAATGCCCCCATGGATTACCGCCACAGTTTTGACCATTCTGAATCTCACACTCAGGAATACTGCTCTCCTGCCTCATCCTTACAAATTCTTGGTTTGCAATTCTCAGCCTATTCTAAAGTCTGTTATCTTCCACGTGCTGTGGCCGAGATCAGCAGGGAGTAACTCTAA